AGGGGAGAAAAGGAAGAAAGAGAATAAAAAGAGAAAAGAATGGAAGGAAAAAAAGAGAGAAGGTGTGAATTAAGAAAGGGGAGAAAAAGGAGAGAAAAAAGAAATGTTGAAAAGAAAAAGGAAATAAAAAGAAAAAAGGAAAAAAGAGAATGTGTATTAAGAAAGGGAAAAAAGAAAAGAAAAGAGAAAAAAAAGAAGGAAAAAGAAGAGAGAGAAAAAAGAAAGAAGGGGTGATTAAGAAAGGAGAAAAGAAAGAAGGAGAAATTCAAGAAAAGAAAATAAGGAAAAGAATAAAAGGAAAAAGAAAGAAGAAAAGAAGAAAAGAGAAAGAAAGGGAAAAAAGAAGAAGGAAAGAAGAGAGAAAAAAAAAAAGAATAAAAGGAAAAAAGAAGAGAGAGAATGAAAAGAAAGAAAGGGAGAAAGGAAGAAAGAGAAATGTTGAAAAGAAAAGGAAATAAAAGAATAAGGAAAAAGAGAGAGAAGAGAAGTTGGGAAATTAAGAAAGGGAAAAGAAAGAGAATGAAAAAAGAAAAAAGAATGGTAGGAAAAAAAGAGAGAGAAGGTGTGAAAAAAGATGGGGGAGAAAAGGAAAAAAGAAAAGGTTGAAAAGAAAAGGAAAAAGAAAGAATGGTAGGAAAAAGAGAGAGAGAAGGAAGAAAAAAAAAAGGAAGGAAAGGGAAAAAAAGAAGGTTGAAAATAAGAAAAATAAAAGGAAGAAAAAAGGAAAAGAAGAAAAGAAGAAAGGAGAAAAAAGAAAGAGGAGAAAAGAAAGAAAGAGAAAGGAAGAAAAGAAAGAAGAAAGGAAAAGAGGAAAAGAGAAGGAGAAGATCCAAGAAAGGGGAAAGGAAGAAAAAGAAAGAGAATGAAAAAGAAAAAGAATAATAAAAGAAATGAAGAAAAAGAGAGAGAAAGGGGTATTAAGAAAGGGAGAAAAGGAAGAAAGAGAAAAAAAAAGAAAAGAAAATGGTAGTAGGAAAAAAGAGAGAGAAGGAGGTGTAGGAAGAAAGGAAAAAAGAGAAAGAGAAAAAAAAGGAGATAATAAAAGAATGGTAAGAGAAAAAAAGAGAGAGAAGGTGAAAAAGAAAGGGGAAAGAAAGAGAATAAAGAAAAAAGAATAAGGAAAAAAATGGGAAGGAAAGAGAAAAAGACTGGGAGAAAAAATGAAGAAAGAGAAAAAAGAAAGGAAAAAAGAAGAATGGGGAGAAAAGGGAAAAAGGAAGAAAGAGAAGAAAAAAAGAAAAGAGAAAAAGAATGAAAGGAAAAAGAAAAAGAAAGAGAAGGAAAAAGGAGAGAAAAGGTGGGGAGAAAAAGGAAGAAAGAGAATAAAGAAAAGATGGGGATAAAGAAAAGAAAAAAAAGAGAAGAAAAGAGAATTAAAAAGGAGAAAAGGAAGAAAAGAAAAAAGAAGAAAAGAATCCAAGGAAAAAAAGAGAGAAAGGTGAAAGAAAGGGAGAAAAATGGGGGAGGAGAGGGGAAAAAGAAAAGGATAATAAAAGAAAAGAGGAAAAGAGAGAGAAGGTGTGTAGGAATGAAAAGGAAGAAAGAGGAAAAGAAAGAGAAAAAAGAAAAAAGAATGGAAGGAAAAAGAAAAGAAAGAGAATAAAAAGGAGAAAAGGAAGAAAGAGAAATGAAGAAAAAGAAAAAAGAAAATAAAAGAATAGGGGAAAAGAGAAGAGAAGGTGAAATTAAGAAAGGAGAAAAGGAAGAAAGAATGAAAGAAGGTGGGGAATGGTAGGGAAAAAGAGAGAGAAAGTGTCCAAGAAAGGAGAAAAAGGAAAGAGAAATGTTGAAAAAAAAGAGAATAAAAAAGGAAGGAAAAAAGAGAGAGAGAAGGTGTAGGAAGAAAGGGAGAAAAGGAAGAAAAGATGGGGAAAAAGAAAGAAAAAGAATGAGAGGAAAAAGAAGGAAATGTTGTAAGAAAGGAAAAAGGAAGAAGAAAGAGAAAAAAAAAGAAAAGAATGAAAAAGAAAAAGAGAAGAAAAGGAATTAAAAAAGGGAGAAAAGGAAAAAGAGAGAAAAGGAAAGAGGGGGAAAGAAAAGAATGCGAAAAAAAGAAAGAAGAATAAAAGAAAGGGAGAAAAAAAAGGAAAAGAGAGGAAGAAAAGGAGGAAAAAGATAAAAAAAGAAGAGAGAAAGAAAGAAAAAGGAAAAGAAAAGAGAATAAGAAAAATGAAAAGAAAGGAAGGAAAAGGAAAAAAGGAAAAAAGAGAGAGAGAAGGTGTGTATTAAGAAAGGGAGAAAAGGAAGAAAGAGAAATGTTGAAAAGAAAAGGATAATAAAAGAATGGTAGGAAAAAAGAGAGAGAGAAGGTGTGTATTAAGAAAGGGAGAAAAGGAAGAAAGAGAAAAAAGAAGAAATTTTGTGGTGGAAAAAGGAGGAAGAAAGAAAAAGAAAGTGAATGAAAGGGAGAAAAGAGAATGAAGAAAAGAAAAGAAGGAATAAAAGGAAAGAGTTGTAGGAAAAAGAGAGAGAAAAAGAATAAGGAGGGGGAAAAGGAAAGAAAGAGAATAAAAAAGAAAAAGAAGGAAAAAGAGAAAGAATGTTGAGGAATATGAAAAATGAGAAAGGGGAAAAAGAATAAAGAAAAGAATGGGGGAAAGAGAGAAAAAGAAAAGAAGAAAAGGAAGAAGACTAATGAAGGAAAAAAAGAAAGAGAAAAAGATGAAAGATGGGGGGAAAAGGAAGAAAGGGAAAAAAAAAGAAGAAGAAAGAAAAAAGAGAAAGAGGAGGGAAAAAGAAAAGGAAGAAAAGATAAAGAAAGGAGAAAAGAAAAGGATAAGATGAAAAAGAATGGTAGGAAAAAAGGAGAGAAAGGTGTGAATTAGGAAAGAGGAAAAAGAGAGAAAGAGAATAAAAGAAGAAAAGAATGAGGAAAAAAAAAGAGAAAGAAGGAGGGAAGAAAGGGAGAAAAGGATAAGAAAGAAGGAAAAAAGAAGAAAAGAATGAAAGGAAAAAGGAAAGAGAATAAGAAAGGAGAAAAAGGAAAGAAAGGAAAAGAATGGGGGAAAATGAATGGAGGAAAAAGAAAAAGAAAGAGAATAAAAGGAAGAAAGAAAGAGAAGGAAGAAAAGGAAAAAAGAGAAAAAGAAAGATGGGGAAAAAAGACTGAAAAAGGAAAAAAAAAGAGAAAAAGGAAGAAATGAAAAAGAAAGGGGAAAGGAAAAGGAAGAAAAAGAATAAAGAAAAGAAAAAATGTTGTTGGGGGAGGGGGAAAAAAGAGAGAGAGAAAAGAAGAAAGAGAAGAAAAGGAAGAAAAAAAATAAAGGAAGAAGAAAAGAAGAGGGGTCCAAGATGGGGAGAAGAAGGTGAGAAAAGAAAGAGGAGAAAAAAAGGAAAGAGAAAGTTGAAAAGAAATGGGAGGAAAAGAATGAAAGAGAAAAAGAGAGAGATGGGGGTGTATTAAGAAAGGGAAAAAGGAAAAAGAATAAAAGAAAAGAAAGGATAATAAAAGGGGACTAAGGAAAGAAAGAGAAGGAAAGAGAAAAAGAAAGGGGGAAATGAAAGAAGAGAAAAGAAAAGGAAAAAAAGAATAAAAGGAAGGAAAGAAAAAAGAGAAAGAAAGGAAGATGGAATAAAGAAAGAGAAAAAGAAAAGAATAAAAAAGAAAAAATGAAGGAGGAAAAAAAAAAGAAAAGATCCAAGATGGGGAAAGAAAGGGAAAAGAAAAGAGAAAAAAAGGAATGAAAGAAAAGAAGGAAGAAAAGAGATAAAGAAGAAAGAAGACTAATGAAAGAGAAAAAGAAAGAGAAAAAAGGAAGGAAGAGAAGGAAAAAAGAGGAGAAGGAAGAAAGAGATAAAGAAAGGGGAACTTTCAAGAGGAGTAAGGAAAAGAAAAAGAGAATAAAAGGAATGAAAAGAGAGAGAAGGTGAAAGAGATAAAGAAAGAAGAAAAGGAAGAAAAAAGAAAGAGAAAAAGGAAAAAAAGGAGGGAAAAGAAAGAGATAAAGGTCCAAGATGGGGGAAAAGAGAAAAGAAAGAGAAAAAGGAAAAAGTTGTGGGGAAATAGGGAAAAAAGAAAGAGAAAAAGAAGGGGGAATAAGAAGACTGCGAAAAGAAAGAGAATAAAAGGAATGAAAGAAAAAGAATGGAAGGAAAAGAAAAGAGAGATCCAAGAAAAGGAAAGAAGAAAAGTGAAAAGAAAGAGAAGAAAAGAAAAAAAAAAGAGAGGTGGAGGAAAAAAGAAAGAAAGAAAAGAAAAAGAAAGGATAATAAGAAAAAAGAAAAGAAAGAGAAGAAAAGGGAATGAAAGAGGAAGTGGAAAGAGAGAAAATGAAGAGATAAAGAAAAGAATGGGGGATAAGGAAAAAGGAAAGGAAAAGAGAATAAAAGAAAGAAGAAAGAAAAGAAAGGAGAGTAAAGAAAGAGAATAAAGATCCAAGATGGGGAAAGAGAAAGGGAGAAAAAAAAAAAGAGAATAAAAAGAAATGAAAGTTGAATGGGGAGGATAAGGAAAAAGAGATAAAGAAAGAGAATGGGGAACTTTCAAGAAAGAGAAAGAGAAAAAAAAAGAAGAAAATGAAAGAGGAAGGAAAAGAGGGGACTTGAAATGAAATGAAAAAGGAAGAAAGAAAAAAAATGAAAGAAAGAGGAGGGGGAAAAGGAGAGGAAAAGAAAGGGGAAAAAGACTGCGAAAAAGAAAGAGAATAAAAGGAGAGAAAGTTGTGAAGGAGGAAAGGAGAAAGAGAAAAAGGGAAGATGGGGAAGGAAAAAGACTGAGAAAAAGAAAGAGAAAAAAGAGAATAAGGAAAGAGATTGGAAAGAGGAAAAGGAAGAAAAGAAAAAAGAAGAGAAAGAAAAAAGAATGGGGAAAAAAGAGAAAAGGAATAAAGAAAGAGAAAGAATAAAAAAAAATGAAAAGAATGGTGGAGAAGGTAGGAAGAAAGAGAGAAAGATCCAAGATGGGGAGTTTTCAAGAAAGAGAAAAGAAAGAGAATAAGGAAAAAGGAAAAAGGAAAGAGAAAAAGAGAAGAGGAGAAGGGAAAGAGAAAGGAGGGGGACTTTCAAGAAAAGAAGGAAAAGAAAGAGAAAAAAAGGAATGAAAAGGGAAAAAGGAAAGGAAGAAGGAAAAGGAGAAAATGGGAAAAGAAGAGAAGACTGAGAAAAGAAAGGAGAAAAAAAGGAATGAAAAATAAAAAAAGAGGAAGAAAGAGATAAAGATCCAAGAGAGGGGGAAGGAAGAAGAGATTGAAAAGAAAGAGAAAAAAAAGAGGAAATGAAAGAAAGGGGAGGCGTAGGAAGAAAGAGATAAAGAGAAAAGAATGGGGACTTTCAAGAAAGCGAAAAGAAAGAAAGAAAGAAGAAAAAGAGGATAAGGAAAAGGTAAAGAATGGTAGGAAAAAAGAGAGAAAATCCAAGATGGGGGAAAAGGAAGAAACTGCGGGAAAAAGAAAGAGAAAAAAAAGGAAAAAAGAAAGTTGTGGGGTGGCGTAAGGAAAAAGAGAAAAAGATCCAAGATGGGGACTTTCAAAAAGCGAGAAAAAAAAAATGAAGTAGGAGGCGTAGGAAAAGAAATGAAAAGATGGGGACTTTAAGAAAGAAAAAGGAGAAAAGGAAGAAAGAGAGGCGTAAAGAAAGAATAAAGAATGGGGACTTAAAAGAGAGAAAATGAAAGAGAATAAAAGGAAGAAAAGGAAAAAGGCGTTGAAGGAAAAAGGATAATAAAAGATGGGGGACAAAGACTGCGAAAAGAAAGAGAATAAAAGGAAGAAAGAAAGAGGAAAAAGGAAAAAGAATAAAGAAAAAGATGGGGAAGGAAAGATGCGAAAAAGAAAAAGAATAAAAGGAGAGAAAGTTGTAAGGAGGCGTAGGAAGAAAGAGATAAAGATCCAAATGGGGGAAAAAGACTGCGAAAAGAAAAGAAGAAAAGGAATGAAAGTTGTGGGGAGAATAAGGAAGAAAAGAGAAAAGATCCAAGATGGAAAAAGAGAAAAGAAAAAAAAGAAAGAGAATAAAAAGGAATGAAAAAGGTGGGGAGGCGTAGGAAGAAAGAGAGAAAGAGGAAAGATGGGAGAATAAGGAAAGGAGAATGAAAAAGAAAGAGAATAAAAGGGAAAGAAAAGGATAAGGAAAAGGAAAAATGAAGATGGGGATAAGAGAAAAGATGGGGAGAATAAAGAAAGCGAAAAGAAAGAGAAAAAAGGAATGATGGGGACTTTTGTGGTGGAAAAGTAAAAGGAAGAAAGAGGAGGAAAGATGAAAAGATGGGGACTTTCAAGACTGGAAAAAGAAAGAGAATAAAAAGGAATGAAAGGAAAGGGAGGCGTAGGAAGAAAGAGATAAAGAAAAGATGGGGAAAGAGAAGAAAATGAAAAAGGAAAAAGAATAAAAGGAATGAAAAAAGGGGGGAGGCGTAGGGAAAAAATAAAAGAGAAAGATGGGGATAAGGAAAGAAAGAAAGAAAGAGAATAAAGGAATGAAAGTTGAAAGAGAAAAGCGTAGGAAAAAAGAGAAAAAAGAATCCAAGATGGGGACTTTCAAGAAAGCGAGAAAAGGAAAGAAAGAATAAAAGGAATGAAAGTTAAAAGGAGGGTAGGAAAAGAAAAAGATCCAAGATGGGGGAAGAAAGAGAAAAAAAGAAGAAAAGGAATGAAAAATGAACGAGGAAAGAGAAAAGATCCAAGATGGGGAAAGAAAAAAAAGAAAAAAGGAATGAAAGTTGTGGTGGAGGCGTAGGGAAGAAAGAGATAAAGAGGAAAAGATGGGGACTTTCAAGACTGCGAAAAAAAAAGAGAATAAAAGGAATGAAAGTTGTGGTGGAGGCGTAGGAAGAAAGAGATAAAGATCCAAGATGGGGGACTTTCAAGACTGCGAAAAAGAAAGAGAATAAAAGGAATGAAAGTTGGGGAAAAGGAAGAAAGAGAAAGATCCAAGATGGGGAAAAGAAAGGAAAAGAAAGAGAATAAAAGGAATGAAAAAGAAAAGGAATGTAGGAGGAAGAAAGAGAAAAAGGAAGAAAGATGGTTGAAGAGAAAAGGAATAAAAAAGAAAGTTGAAAAAGAATAGGAAGAAAGAGAGAAATCCAAGATGGGGAAAAAAGAAAAAAAGGAAGAAAGAGAAAAAAAAGAATGAAAAGGATGGGGAAAAAGGGAAAGAAAGAGAAAAAGAAAGATGGGGGAAAAAGGAAGAAAGAAAAGAAAGGAAAAAAGGAATGAAAAAGAAGGCGTAGGAAAGAGAAAAGATGAAGGGGGACTTTGAAAAGAACTGGGAAAAAGAAAGAGAATAAAAGGAAGAGAAAGTTGTGGTGGAGGCGTAGGAAGAAAGAGAAAAAGATCCAAGATGGGGGACTTTCAAGAAAGAGGGAAAAAGAAAGAAGAAAAAAGAAAATGAAAGGGATGTGGAAAAGGCGTAGGAAGAAAGAGAATAAAGATCCAAGATGGGGACTTTCAAGGAAAGAAAAGAAAGAGAATAAAAGGAAAGAAAGTTGTGAAGGAGGCGTAGGAAGAAAGAGATAAAAAGATCCAAGATGGGGACAAAAGACTGAGAATAAGGAAAAGAGAAAGAGAAGAAAAGGAAAGAAAGTTGTGGTGGAGGCGTAGGAAGAAAAATGAATAAAGAGGAAAGATGGGGGGACTTTCAAGACTGCGAAAAGAAAGAGAATAAAAGGAATGAAAAAGGTGGGAGGAAAGGAAGAAAGAGATAAAGATCCAAGAAAGGGGACTTTCAAGACTGCGAAAAAGAAAGAGAATAAAAAAAATGAAAGTTGTGGTGGAAAAGGAAGAAAGAGAGAAAGATCCAAGATGGGGGGAAAGACTGAAAAAAAGAAAGAGAATAAAAGGAATGAAAGTTGAGGACGGGGTGGGGTAGGGAAGAAAGAGATAAAGATCCAAGATGGGGGACTTTCAAGACTGCGAAAAGAAAGAGAATAAAAGGAATGAAAAGTGGTGGAGGCGTAGGAAGAAAGAGATAAAGATCCAAGATGGGGACTTTCAAGACTGCGAAAAAGAAAGAGAATAAAAGGAATGAAAGTTGTGGGTGGAGGCGTAGGAAGAAAAAGAGATAAAAGATCCAAGATGGGGACTTTCAAGACTGCGAAAAAAAAAAAGAGAATAAAAGGAATGAAAGTTGTGGTGGAGGCGGAAGGAAGAAAGAGATAAAGATCCAAGATGGGGGACTTTCAAGACTGCGAAAAAGAAAGAGAATAAAAGGAATGAAAGTTGTGGTGGAGGCGTAGGAAGAAAGAGATAAAGATCCAAGATGGGGGACTTTCAAGACTGCGAAAAAGAAAGAGAATAAAAAGGAATAAAAAAGTTGTGGTGGAGGAGTAGGAAGAAAGAGATAAAAGATCCAAGATGGGGAGAAAAAGAATGAAAAGAAAGAGAATAAAAGGAATGAAAGTTGTGGTGGAGGCGTAGGAAGAAAGAGATAAAGATCCAAGATGGGGGACTTTCAAGACTGCGAAAAAGAAAGAGAATAAAAGGAATGAAAGTTGTGGTGGAGGCGTAGGAAGAAAGAGATAAAGATCCAAGATGGGGGACTTTCAAGACTGCGAAAAAGAAAGAGAATAAAAGGAATGAAAGTTGTGGGGGAGGCGTAGGAAGAAAGAGATAAAGATCCAAGATGGGGACTTTCAAGACTGCGAAAAAGAAAGAGAATAAAAGGAATGAAAGTTGTGGTGGAGGCGTAGGAAGAAAGAGATAAAGATCCAAGATGGGGAAAAAGAAAGCGAAAAAAGAAAGAGAATAAAAGGAATGAAAGTTGTGGTGGAGGCGTAGGAAGAAAGAGATAAAGATCCAAGATGGGGGACTTTCAAGACTGCGAAAAAGAAAGAGAATAAAAGGAAGGAAAGTTGTGGTGGAGGCGTAGGAAGAAAGAGATAAAGATCCAAGATGGGGGACTTTCAAGACTGCGAAAAAGAAAGAGAATAAAAGGAATGAAAGTTGTGGTGGAGGCGTAGGAAGAAAGAGATAAAGATCCAAGATGGGGACTTTGAAAGACTGCGAAAAGAAAGAGAATAAAAGGAATGAAAGTTGTGGTGGAGGCGTAGGAAGAAAGAGATAAAGATCCAAGATGGGGACTTTCAAGAAAGAGAAAAGAAAGAGAATAAAAGGAATGAAAGTTGTGGTGGAGGCGTAGGAAAAAGAGATAAAGATCCAAGATGGGGACTTTCAAGACTGCGAAAAGAAAGAGAATAAAAAGGAATGAAAGTTGTGGTGGAGGCGTAGGAAGAAAGAGATAAAGATCCAAGATGGGGGACTTTCAAGACTGCGAAAAGAAAGAGAATAAAAGGAATGAAAGTTGTGGTGGAGGCGTAGGAAGAAAGAGATAAAGATCCAAGATGGGGGACTTTCAAGACTGCGAAAAAGAAAGCATAAAACGAATGAAAATTGTGATGGAGGCGTCGGAAGAAAGAGATAAAAATCCAAGATGGGGATTCAAAACTGCGAAAAAGAAAAAGAGAAAAAAGGAATTGTTGTGGGAAGCTAGGAAAAAGACGATAAAGAAAGATGGGGGTGGCAAGATGCGAAAAAAATGGCATTTGCATTAAAAATTTGAGATAAAGAGATAAAAATCATTTTACATTAAAAGAACTGAAAGAAAGCCTTTACGAACTTTCTGTGATAGGACGTAAAAACGTGTAAACAAGGAACATAAATATACAGAAATACCTGAAATCTGATATTACATTAAAAGACCTGAATTAAAAATCTGAGATTTGTGAGTTTTAAATGACTGAAAAAAAGAACTAAGATAGGAGAGTCTAAAATGACGGAAAGCTCCGAGAAAGGTATGTGAAAGAACTGAAAAGAAAGATTGGAAATAGTATGAAATTAAAAGGACAGACGAAAGATCGGTGTTGTAGGAAGAGTTATGAAAGTCTGAGATATCCCCGGCGGGGCGGGGGACTAATAAAGATGGAAGGAAAGACATGGGAATTGAGTGAGTCTTAAAGTACAAAATAATGATTTTCAGATGTGGTGCCTCAATGACTGAAAAGTGAACAGTTATAATGTTAGCCTAAAGTAATAGAAATATATGTGATGCGAGGTACTGAAAGATCTGAAATGTGGAAATCTAAAGGTATTGGATGAAGCGGACCCTCCATCTCAGTATGATCGAATGAAGAAAAAAAACAAATCTTTAATAACATACAGTCGAATAAATGAGCTTGCATTTCTCGAATTGTTAGAGTTATTCATACATAAGCATTTGTATTTGACTTGTTCCAGTTTACTTTTAACATTTGGTAGCAGAAAAAATTAAGCGAATAAATACAGCAAATAGATTTTATATTTTACCGATCAGTACGCCGTATGGTTTTAGGTAAACAGCTATTTTAAGAACCAAGCATCGTTTCACTTGATCGCCCCCGTATCGTTTTGAATAGTGAGGCTGAGAGTAATCAGTGGACATTGTTCATTGGCCCTGGGGGTGGAAGAACCTACGCAGTAGGTTAGGAGGGGGCTAGATAATCAATATCATCGGAATGAAAATAGAGAAGAGGAGATAAAAGAAAAAAAAAGAGAAGAAAAAAGAGGGATAGTACGAGGAGAGAGAATTGAAAAATATGATGTCGTATAGATGAAGTACATTTATGCAACAGTGCTAAAATGTAAATACAATTCGAGTTTCTGTTGCTTGGTTTGAACACGTGTAATATTGTCGTATAATACATTTACTATTTTAGTGACTTTGAATTATTTAAAATCTACAATTACCATTTGTTTTTAGAAACATTTCATTCATTTTCTTTATAAATAATTTTTAAAAGCTATAAAAAATAAATTTAAGATATCCTAAAATGTTGTTTTCTCAGAAATGGTAATGATACGCAGGAAACATTCGGTGTTCATTGATTGAATATTTGAAATTTATAAAATCTTTTTCTTACAATAGTTTGGAAATTAGACTTCTCAAGTCCACTCTCATCGTTCTTTCTAATGCTGATGTAAGTTTCCTTTCAAACAAGGTAGCATGGGAAATCAACAGCTTAATTATATATTCCATTTTGGTAATATGTGCTGCTCATTTTCGTTGTTGCCCCCGTTGGAAGTCTTCAAGTATTTTGCAAGTTTAACCCAAACTACTCATTTTCAACAGCGGCGTACTTAACATGACTAGTAAAATTCAAAATATTTATTTGCATAAAAATAAAAAATGCAGCACAAGGCCAGCAATGGGAATGGAGAGGCATGGTCTTCAATATTCTATCTTTTAACCTAGATCGATACAACCAATGGCGCAATTGCACAGATATTTTTCATTTACCAAAACTTCACAGTAACACTTCTCAGCCGTAGTACAGATACTAAATATCACAATTTCTTCATGAAGTCCTAACTAGTTCCATTAGTACTATTTTCATGGGGAGAAGAACTAACACCAATGAAAATTTATAATTAATAAAATTATTTATAAAAACCACAGAAAAAATTGTTAATATTAAAAGCTTCCAGCCACAAAAAATACTAATTGTGTTCGAAATAAGTTACCCAAACTAGAAATGTGATAGTGAAAAAATTCAACCACACCTAACAACCACGCATTCATTCAAACAAATTAAATTGAAAAAATCTAAACTGTAATCTCTTTTGTAAGAATGGGACCGCAGGGAGTTAATCAGAAGAAATAAAGAAGAGTAAAGAGACTATTAACTGGATGATAATTGTTGAAATTCTCAGGGAAGTGGATTGAAAAGTTAAGAAAATAAAAATGAAATGTGTTAAAAATCATGTTTTAAAATAATAAAATGAAATTAAGAACAGTTCCAAAGAGAATAGAACTCAAATTTAACTCGACGGAATTCAGTAAGATTGAACGAAAGTAAAACTACTAGTCCTTCACCACTTCCCATCGATAAGAAAGAGACAATTATGGCACATGCATATTGTCTTCGGCTGGATGGAGCTAGCAGATCTTTTGTCGGATCTTTGAAGCCTTATCACCCCAATAAGAGGTCGAACAAAGACTCAATTTGGCACACGGGATGAGAAGAATAGAAAATCGGTAAAGGAAGCCGAAGTAGATGTACGAGACATAAACTTCTGCCCTCTCCTTTAAGAAACGATTCCTCCGAGACCACAAATGAGCTACGGACTCAATCTTTTCCTGAACTTCCGACAAATTCTTCTCCAGCTGGAGGTCAGAACCAAACGAGATGCCAAGTATCTAACATGGCCCGTTCATCCAAATGATGGAAATAGAAACTTCCTTCCACACAGCAAGCCAACAGACATCGCGGATGATCTTGGCTCTCTGCTACCGTCACATACCCTCTGATTTCTCTGTCCACTTCATATATCTTGGTAACTATAGTCACGTCGTTGGCATAAGGGAAGTAGCTGGCCGAGGTGGTGGCACCAGGTAGCGTGATTCTGTGTAGTACGGGATTCACCTTCAGCTTGATAAGGAAAGGTTCCAACGCAAAGCGAAAGCAGGCTACCTTGACGAAGAGAACAAGATATCATGAAATATTTAGACCTTACTCCATTCACTTCTAGACGTGTAAAATTCAAGGATTCATTGTCCCTGTATTACTCCTTTAAAAATTCTTCACACCGAAAATGGTAAAATGTACCAGTTTCAAAAAGACGGGACGGGATGATTATTCCTTATTTGGAGAAAAATCCACCAAGGACATCCTTATTCCAGTCACCCCTTTTATGAAATATTCGAATGAAACGCTTTGCCCTAGAATGTGTGCAGCCTAAATTATGGAGTTGGACTAAATTTCCTAAACATTTAATAAAAAGAGATGTTGGAATAGGAATGTTCCGGGTGAATTTTTCTCCAAAAAAGAATCATCGTCCCGGCTCGTCTATTTGAAACTGAGAGGTAACAATTCAAATTTGAAATTATATATTGAGGTGAGAAACTGATTTTAAGAAAATGAAAAATTGTACCTTTAAAGTTTGCTTGAAGGAAATGTTTGCAGCCCTCTATATGCATTATGACGTACCAATCTCTGATATAAACTATCATATGATATATACTTGAACTCTTATGAAAGTAAAGTATTTTCAGTCAAATTTTCTTTCTATCACGTTTATCATTCCCGTTTTTTTTTTGTTTTTCTTTTACTAGTTTATCTCTGAACGGAAATAGGCAGGAAAATGAATTTATGAGAATGTATCATTTCGAGAATATCTGTGCGTAACTCGCGTGTCCGTAACTTACAAACATTCTTACAAATTTATGTTAGAGATGCTGTCAGGAGAAACAGAGCGCTTGAAAAAGTAAAAGACAAACCTGCGTAGTCGATCGTACAGATGTATGACAATATTTGTGCATGTGTGTGTATAAAGTTCGTGTATATTGTGCTGTGTGATGTATTATAAATATATATACAGACACTGCACAAAAACAAATCGATCGCTAAGCGAAAGATTTTATATCATATGGAGATTTCACGTTTTACAAGAATACGTATGTTCGAACTACTGGAGAAGTATGAAGATTTGTGGAGTGAATCTTTTCTGTAACAAAAACAGTATTCAAAATTATAGATTCCTCGTGTACTCGAACACTGAAGGTAAATATGTAGTTATTTCAGGTATCAAATAAATCTATAGATGTGATCAGTTAAAGATTATATACATGGCGATTTTATGTTTGATGGACTCTTCCGTCTAATTATAATTTTTACAAGACGGAAGAATCCGTCATACATAAAATAGGGAGTTACTTTTTAATCACCATCTATATAAACAATAATTACGTAATTTGAATGTAATTCTAATGAAGTACATGTTACCGTTGATTTTGTTGAAAAGTGCGCAGTATTAAGCGACTGGTGATCGGTTCTATGGAATCATAGGTGGATTATGTCGCCTACTTGATTTTACGGTGAAACTTTTTGTTACCCGTATGCTTGTCACATGTTTAATAAGATCTAATAACGTAACGATATATATATATATATATATATATATATATATATATATATATATATATATATACAAGCATGAATCCACCTCATTATCTACCTAGTTAATTATCTAACTTTTCTCTATCTATCTATCTATCTATCTATCTATCTATCTATCTATCTATCTATCTATCTATCTATCTATCTCTCTCTATATATATATATAGAGAGAGAGAGACAGACAGACAGACAGACAGACAGACAGACAGAATGAGCTAGGTAGATAGATAATGAAGTGGATTCATACATGCTTGTTGGTAATGTCCATAGATATAATTATCATAAATGTAGTATAAATATAGATCATAAACCGTTGGTGTTGGACTTAGTAGGAGAATATTATGATTCTTTCGTAATTGACTGCTAGAAACCGGGAAAATGTTTCATCTTTGTATATTAAAAGAAAAAGAAATACCAAAAAATGCTTTAAATGAATCGCAAGGAAATCCTACGTATGCAAAGTGAGGTTAACTTTAGCCTAGGGAGACACACTTTGGAGTCGTTATTCACAAACTTCAAAAACACAATGTAATATTGCTTATTTTATCCTTTAGCAATAACAGTTTTGAACCGCACAATCTTTTCTTTCTTTATCGATATTTTTTTTGTCTTCGCTTTTTTTATAATGGCGACTTCATTGTTTGCATTTTTAGTTCCTTTCTTAAATTGTTCCTTTTTTTTCTTCCCTTTTCTTACCATATTTCTTTTTTATTTATTTATTTTTCTTCATTTCCTTTCTTTGACTCTTCATGTTCCATTCAGCTCTTTTGCATACTTTCATAACTCTGTTGTAGCCAACACAAGATGATGCCTTAATAATCAGGTGTAGAACTTTTTCTCTATGTAATTAACAGTGGTCTTAGTAATAGGGATTCGGAAAATCATTTAAAGGGTCTAAAAACGCGAAAATTAATAAACTGCTTATCGGAATATTTACACAAAAAATACATTCTCTGCTTTGTCTATTTGGCACTTAAGTGTATTTCGAAATAGATAGACAAAC